GATTACTATCAGGCTGGTATCAAGTATTGTTGTTGCTGAAAATTTACATCTAGAGCAGTTAGATATGAAGACTGCACTCATCCTTAGTGACTTAGAGGAGGATATTTACATGGTATAACCAGAAGGTTTTCAGATTCCTGGCAAACAAAACTATGTCTGCAAGCCGAATAAAAGTCTGTATGATTTGAAATAGGCTCGTAGATGGTGGTATAAGAAATTCGACACCTTTATGTGCGGTAACAAGTTCACTAGACGTGAAATGGACCATAGTTGTTACTTCAAGAAATCTAATGGCTGCTATATTATTTTGCTTCCGTATGTGGATGGTATGCTCATTGCAAGATCTAGCATGAGGGAGATCAATAGACTAAATCATCAATAATTGTCAAAGGAGTTTGAAATGAAGGACTTAAAAGCAGCAAATCAGATTCTTGGGATAAGGATCACGTGAGATAGATTAGAAGGAGTTATAAAGTTGTCTAAAAGAAGTACATTGAAAAGGTGTTGGATAATTTCAGAGTTCAATATACAAAGCCCAGAAGCACTCCTAAGGGAAGTCACTTCAAGCTCTTGAAGGAGCAGTCACCAAAGACAAATGAAAAGCGGGAGTATTTGGGTAAGGTGCCTTATGTGTCAACTGACATCAGTTTAATGTGTACTATGGTTTGCACTAGACCAAACATAGCTCATGTAGTGGAAATTGTGAGAAGATATATGGCCAATCTAGGAATGAAGCATTGGCAAACTGTAAAAGAGATTACCAAGATACCTAAGAGGCACTGCAGATATGACACTTTGTTTTATGAAAAACAATATGACTTTACAAGACTTTGTCAATACAAATCTTGGTGGTAATATGGACAATAGGAACACGTAGGGTTATATTTTCATCTTAGGTGGCACTGCAATAAGTTGGATGTCGAGATTTCATAAATGTGTCCCTCTCAACCACTAAAGCACGGTATATTGCTATATTTGAAATTGACAGAGAGATAATTTGGTTGAATAATATTTTGAAGGAGAAAGGCAAGGAGCATGATAGCAATGTTTATTTCAGTGATAGTCAGAGTGATATTTATATTGCAAAGAATCAGTATTTTACTCAAGGAAAAAGCACATTCGTTGAAGTATCATCATATTTGTGAGCTAATAGATGATAGGACATTGTCAATGAAGAAAATCCTTGGTATGAAAAATCCAGCAGAGATGTTACTCACGGATGTCACCATTGAAAAATTGAGGCTGTGTATTACCTCAGTTGGCCTCCATGATTAGTGAAGAGGAGGTGTCACCAGGTTAGGACAATTTGGGTTACAAGGACGTGTGGAGACTATGAGATACTATTGTCATTTTGAAGATCAGCCTCCAAATGAGATATTGATGGAGTTGTGGAGTCTGATAGAGGAAAATGTTGTCAAAAGGGTATACATGTAATTTCTACCATAACTCTATATGCCTTAGACTCTTGTTATGTGTTGGGGTGATTTCTTTTGTAATTATAAGTTGGTACGATAGTAAAAAGATTACTTAGCACACTACCATGATTTTTTTCTTTTCTGATTTTTGAAGAGTTTTCCATGTAAATATATGTGTGTCTTCTTCTCTAATTCTTCTAATTTTACGTTTCTTGGTCCTAATAGAGGGGAGATGTTCCTATATATAATCCCATATTGAGCACGAGTCTTAATTAAGACACTAACTTACACCAAGCCGTCTGATTACATAGATACCGATTCAGATAATGTGCATAACCCAAAAATGCACATTTGATCGCATATCATAAAGTGTCTCATATATTTTGAGTATTTTTTAAGCAAATATAAAGTAATCTTGCTCTTAATTGCTGCCTAAATACAGAAAATTACTGACAAAGCTCATTTGCGTGCATGGTCTTTGCCAGTTTCGTTTTGCTGCTACGATGCTCTGTTTGGCAGGAAGTTGGGTGGCCTTGGAACCACAAACATGACATTTTGCACTCACCTTTTGTCACACGAACATCCCTCTTTTTCTCTCAATGTAGAGAGAGGTCTCTCATAGACAATTATGATTGATACGTGAGAAAAGATGAGAGTCGAAAGCCTAGTTTTTACACAATCTTTGTAAAAAAGTTAGATATTGATTACAAAAGTGGGTAACTTTTTCTTTTCCATGAATATGCATTAACATGTTAATAAAACTAAAACAAGTGCAGTTTCCATTATACATATATCTCCCTTGATTGTACATATCCATAATTAATTATAATTGTTATCTTATATAGTCATCTAATAAAGACTATGAATAAGCTCGTGTACTCTTCATTATGATACATAGAGACATACAAAAATATACATAAATTACACAATTCTCTCTTCTGCATTATGCTTATGTTGGTATCAGAGCTAGAGAATCTTGAGGAAATTTTGAGTACATCAAGTGCACACCCCACGCAGCCACGTTAGTCTGTTCTACCGTCCCAGCACCACAGCCATGTCAACCTCTTTTGCTATGTAGTCACGTCAACCTCTTTTGCTGACGGGTGGTCTGCACCACAGCCATGTCAACCTATTATGGCTTAGCCTGCAGATATCGGCCGGTTCTCTCTTCAGCACACTGAACCACTTAGGCGATCCACCATGCGTAATTTCGGATTTTTTCTCCGAACTCCAGTTGACTTTCCCTGAGTCATCTTGAATTTGAAGAGGATTTTAGAGATAATTAAGATATTTCCTTTGATTGTCTATATCTCTCAGGATTATGCATATATCTCTCTTAATTGTGCACATCTCTAATTGATTATAATTATTAAAGTCAGTAAATAGCTCTTGTACTCTCCATTATGACACATAGAGATACACAAAGATATATAGAAATTTCACAATTCTCTCTTCCGTATTATTCTTATCTATCTGCTTGTTGATGCCAGTTGCAATATTAACCAGTTCATGCATGCTATCTTCTCAAGCATAATACCAGACAATGGAAAGGACATCAGCTTTAGCTCCAATCTAAGACTTCGTATTATCAAAGTCTACTTTTCTCAGGACTACGTCGATCTTCTAATATGTTGTTCACTCTAGTTTTATTTGTTGCTATTAGTTTATCATTAACTCTTGCTTGTTTGTCCATTTCCTCTCCATTCCATCACCCTCGTTCCCTCAGTTTTTTCTTTCCCTTGCTGTCATTTTGCATGCATCGACCTCCATTTTAAGGGTATTTTTTTTTTCACCAGACTGTCAAGGGTTTATTATATTATGAGTATTTAATGTCTAGATGTTTCGCGATCATGCTCTTGTGCAATGTATATAGTTTTCTTTGACGAACGAAGTTGAAAACTGAAGTTATTAGTAAAGTATAAACGCTCGTTTGTGTTAGGTTAACTTTTTGAGTGTTTTCTTCTAAAAAAAAGATTTTCCACACGTAGGCTATAACCATTGCTTGAGTATTGCCGTTTGTAGTTGGGAACCATGGATTAGAGAGACTAGAGATTTACACGCCAAGTATTGATATGGATCTTTACCTAAACAGAAGTTATTCGCTAAATTTATTAAATATTACCGATAGCATCTATATAGCCAATGTTACTCCCTCGCTGACGAAAAGATATTGTCTGAATTCATTTTGTCATATCGTGTGATACTTTAACACCCCTTCTCATGTAGAAGCCAGAGCAGAAGTGGATTTGATAAATAGGGGGTCGCACACGTGAAATAAACTGAGGAAAATTATCCAATAATTTCTAAACCTATTGCATTTTTGCCAATTCAGTCCTCAACTTTTCAATTTTGCCAATACAGTCCTAAATCTTTTTTCATTTGTGCCAATTTAATCTATCCGACCAATTTTGGCCGACTGGTACTGACATGGACACTGGCCGGCGCTAACCGTTTGGCCAATACTGACGTGGCAATTTTTTTTAATATTTTAATATTTTTCCTTTTTTTTTGCCTTTCTTCCCTCTAGCCGGTTTGGCGACCAGCCAGAGGCGAGGAACGGTGAGGTTGACCTCGTCGCCTCTAGTGAAGCTCGCCCCTGTTGGGTGAGGGCGAGCCTTGCCCGCCCCTGGCTGGTCGAGCCTCGCCCAGCCAAGGCGAGGCTGACCTCGCTGTTGTTGGGTTCTCCCTTGCCCAGTGACGACAAGGTCGGGCTTGCCTTGGCTGGGTGAGGCTCGATCGCGCCTCGTTGCTACTGGGCGAGGGAGAACCCAACGACAGCGAGGTCAGCCTTGGCTCGACCTCGCCCTTGCCAGTGGCTGGCGGGGGAGAGCTTCACCAGAGGCCGGCGAGGTCAACCTCACCGGTCCTCACCTATAGCCGATCGTCGGACTGGCCAGAGGGATGAAGGTCAGAAAAAAAGATAGAATAAATTAATAAATTAATATAAAGTATTTAAAAATTGCCACGTAAGCATTGGCCGGACGGCGGACCAAAATTGATCGGATGGATTGAATTGGCACAAACACAAAAGGTTGAGGATTGAATTGGCAAAAATGCAACAGGTTTATGACTTTTTGGACAATTTTCTAAATAAACTAAGGCGAAATTTGGCTGTAATACCACGTTAGAATATCCAACCCAAAGCACAAGGTCATAAGTCGAGACAGACCACATGTGTCCAAGAACATGCAAACTCCATAAACAAGTGATGTAGGATACTTTAATATCGTGGATGAATTACTTTTAAACTTCATGAAAGCCACATTTAACAAAGACTCGCTTTACGGAGTTTTTGAGTGATCAACAATTCTATTAACAAAAACCCACCCATCGGTGGTCGCGTTGGTTTGCGCTCAGTTCCTTTCACGAGAGGTCCTGAGTTCAAACTCGCCCATCGGTGATTTAAGTGGGGGGTCGTGGCGGTGGGATGCTGCGCTAGCCCCCCTCAATGACTAGTCGGGCATCACCGCTGGTTTGAGCCCTAGCTCGCCGGCCGCGCGGACACCTCGGTTATCAAAAAAAAAAAACAATTCTATTAACAATCAATACGATGTTGCTTTAGTTTTAAGGGAGGGAAGTTGTGATCGTATCCCCTCGAATCGAGAAATTAAAGATGCTGAAGGTAGAAGAAACAGAGTTTCCTTAGCCCAAGTTCGAAGTTTACACTCGGATCATCTCATACTACACACGCCCGCGCGTGCAGAGAGAGAGAGAGAGATAGTCGACAGACTACTATTATTTCCCCGGATGTCCGAAAGAAACAGTCATGGCAGTCGCTCTGTGAATGACCTAAAGGTACAAAACCGTCGCGACCGACGTCCATAGTCTTCCTTAACCCCGCCCTTAACCTTAAGTACAGACCGGAAAACCAGCTAAGCTACTAATTCCTAGCTTCTCCCCTTGTCGAAGTGCAGGATCGGGTCGTCTTCGCGGAAGAGCCGATCGGTGTTGAGCGCGGTGAGCAGGATCAGGCCGAGGAGAACCAGGAAGGAGAGCGCCGATAGCACCAGCACGAGCCCCGAAGCGAAGCCGCCCTTCACTCCCTGCGCGTATTCAGACGACGCCAAGGCAAGAAAAGTCAACGGGAAGGAGTAGGCCCACCATGCGACGTTGAATTTCCTCATCGATTTCTTGAAGAGCGCCGGTCTGCATGCCTGTTTTCGACAGCCACAAGACAAACCCTAGTTTAATATTTAAAATTTTACCTAAGATTTATGTCAACTGAATCCCTTTGTTTAATGGCCATTTTCGATATCACGTCATCTCTTCCGAAAGCAGCTGGCCAGAGCTTTAAATATTAAAGACTTTTGGAGGTATAAATATATGATAAGTATTTTATTATTGGGATCAAAACTCACGCAAGAGAGTTGCGTAAACCACTTACCTAATTGAGGGGGGAAATGGTCTATTTAACATTTATTAAGTCAGCTTGACATTTTGGACCCTTAAACTAAGGCGGGGGATAGTTATCTAAAAAGTTCTAAACCTATTGTGCGGAGGTCAATTCAATCCCGAACTTTTCAATTGTACCAATCTAATCCTTAACCTTTTGACGATTTGCCGATTTAATCCTAAACCTTTCAATTATGTCAATTTTAGTCATAAACCTATTATTTGGATATTTGGCCGGAATGACTACATTGGCAAATCATCACAAGGTTTAGGACTAAATTGACAAATCGTCAAAAAGTTTAAGGCTAGATTGGCACAACTGAGAAGTTTAGGACTGAATTGATCTCGGTACAATAGGTTTAGGACTTTTTGGAGAATTTTCGCAACTATGGTGCTATATACGGTAGGAGAGCCGATTTCCTCGTACACAATTTCCACCGACGAATCTGATGAAAGGGGACACAAGAGAGAGAAAAAAGAGGTTGCTAAGCAGACATCATAGAAAAATATGTACAACGTGATTTGTCTTAGGACACAAAGTTAATGAAAGACTCCTCGCCCGAAGAACGTAAAAGATTGGTCAAACTTAATGACTAATTTTGTCTACGTCAACATCAGATGCGCCCCTTTATTTCTGGACAAATTTGCTTGCATAAGCATCTTCTACTGTTTAGAAATTTTTAGGTAAAATATCAAACATCTAGCGATGATGGGTCGGCAATTTTGGTCCCCGGATCGATACTAAGATTCCATATCTTATTCCAAAGTGCAAACTCCCCTTTCGTTTTCTTATTTCCCCTTGGTTTGTGTTTTTAAAAATTTCATGGAGTTTGCAAAGTTGGTGACAGTGATACTATTTATTTCTGCAGAATCCAAGCCTCTTCATATGGTTATGATCTACCAAGTTAAGACAAAGCGCCAAATCACCTCTTAAAGTTTGGTCATTTTGGATGGCTTCATGTGGCAAAACTTATGGAAAACTTTAGCTAATGAATTTAACCTAGACGCACAACGACACCTGCATGAAAATTCAAGAGATCAATCGATAACCCTACACAATTTTCTGTACTTTGATTGGTAACAAATGAACCTATTTACTCTAGCATGAGCATGAAAGTGATATGGATTTAACTAGAGAGATGAAGGAAGGTAAGTATTGATTACCAGAGAGGTGAACTGAAAGAGGGAGAGGAAGAAGAGCATCTTCGACCCGATGTCGAACCCTCCGGAGATGGACTTCCAAGCCAAGCTTGCCATGCTCGGCGCTGCGAAGAACAGGAAGAAGACTGGCCTCAACATTGCCGGCAGCTTATCACCACCCGACAGCCGTTGGTACAGAGTGACAAACAGCACTAGGTAATGCGCCATCCCCAGCGAGAACATGCAGACCGCGCTCTCGCACCACCCCATCTCAGCTGCAGCCCACGCGCCCACTAGGTTCCCCACCACCGAGAGCTGGCTCGTCGGGTTGGCCACCGTCGAGAGAAACCGCCTCTCGGTCGTGAACCACTGCCCGTAGATCTTTATATCAAGCAAGATCACGGGAACTGCGAAAACCCACCAAAGGACCAAGTACGACATCGTTTTCGGCAAGTCCAACGTAAAATCAGCCGATTGGAGCAACACTAGCCACGTTATCCATGGGGCGAACAAGTAGTTCACCCCAACGTGGTGCTGAAACTCCGCCCTCACCAAGCCAAAATGGAAGAAACATCGGAGAATATAGAGGAAAGAGAGGGAGATTTGGACTAGAACAGCGAAGCCCCAAAAGATCATGAAGGTCAAGTGAGGGATGACATGAGAGAGCCGTTCGAGAGGCAGCGAGTCTTCGGACGTCGATGGGTGGCGGAGGATTTTCCATAGCAAGGCTTGGCTCGCGAGGGAGAGGCTTATGCGGAAGTAGCCGGCGTGGAGCCGGGTTAAGATGGTCGATTTGAACGGCTTTGTGATGGGGACGAGGTTGCGGTCAGGGGTTCTTGTGCGGGAGGTGTCGATCACCAGCTGAAGTGGCGGCTCGTACCGGAGCTCCGATTCCATTCGACGCGGAGGTGGTGGTGGTGTTGTCTTCTCTAAGGTATTGGACACTTTGGGCTCTTGCTCGGGTCTTGACGATGTATTGAGATGTGCGGGCGGTTTATATAGGGAATCAAGTCAAGTACGGAACGAATTTATAGTTTTTGTTTTTTGATTGGTCATTTTCCCCGTAAACGACGGATTTTTCGTTGAAGTTTAGTCAAACAACGTGATCACAGTTTAATAGATATTCAAGAATATATGCCGAGGACAATGGAAATGGACGTTTCGCACAAGAGCAACCTGACGAGGAGATCCCCCCGCCCTTTGTTGAGTATTGCTGAAGAACAATGACAACTCGAACAATATGATATTAGTGCAGTGGAAAAAAACAATTACCCTTCCTGTGCGAGCCTAATAGAAAACAACATAATAGAGCAATATAAATACCAAGCACCCATAATTAAAAAATCATGGGATCAGAGTCCACCCAAAATTTTCACTATCAATAAAATTGGGTGAACAAAGTTCTTCTCTAGTTAATACTAGAGGTACATAGCAGTAACAATATCAAGAACACCATTCTTGACAATACACATGAATTTCACAAAAGATCAAGGATAAATCTCACAAAAAATGAGGTTCAGTTCATCCACAAAAAACCTAATGTAGGGAGCTTCAAGTGAAAATCAAACCGATCAGATTCGAGAAGAATGTGTCACGAGCATGCTGACAAAATTTCAGCTCAATCGGATCATGAATCGACCTCCAACATCAGCTTGATGAAAATCAGATATTGCCATTTTTCCTAGATTTTTTGCTCTCTCTTTCTCTCTTGCTACTACGTCTCAACCATCGTTCCTTTGTAGCTACCACATAATAATAGTGAGGAACCCTATTTTTCCATATGGATTATCATATGGGCTTAAGCCTTGGGCTTGCAATTCATTATGCTTCCTCCACAATCCACACGGGAGTGAACCCAACCCCCAAGTATTACCGTGCGTTTCATTTATGTTGAATAATGATGACAAATGTTTAGTACTTTTTTTTTTGGACAATCAAAGTTATATTGATTTAAGTGTCGAGACCATATGCATATGGTCGTCTTGCTCTTGTGTGTTCTCAACTTGTAGAAATCTACAGAAAAAAAAAATCTAATGGCAGAATAAAAATGAGGGACACTAAGCCCCACAGTGTAGCTAGCGACCCAACATTTGCCCTTTTGAGCTCGACCGCACCACCCAGTAGCCACTCTCATGCCCATGACCCTCTAGGCCCCATCTCTCTCTTCCACCCCACAGTGTAGCGACCATGACACTAAGCCCCACAGTGTAGCGAGGCTCGAACTAGCAAGGAGGAGGGTGAGTCGGGAGAGGGAGAGAGAGAGAGAGAGAGAGCCGTGAAGTGTTTAAGTAAAGTTGGAGAGAGTAGAAAAAAGAGAGAGATAGAGTAAAAAATGCCAAGAGTAGAAAAAAGAGGGCTGCTTGGCTATCTTGCTGTGGCTTGCAAGGGCGCGGCAGCCCTCACCCTTCAAATGTTTTTTGTCTTCTAAAAAATCACCAATTTTAATTCCAGTCCCAAATCTACCTTGAGTCAAAAAATGGAACCCTAGTTTCTTCAAATTTATTAACTTCAAGAGGTTGTTGTTCAATCAAGAAAGTGATTGTGCCGGTGAAGTCGCAAATTCTAATAATAAACTTTTAACTAGCTCTAATATTGATAATTTTGAAGAAATTAGTAGCGCCTTTTTGACGGGTAGATATGGGACTATAGTGAAAGTTTGTAATTTTTTCTGAGACAAAAAGAATTCGAGGCGGAATTGGGATTAGACCTAAAGTTATGATTTTCTTCAAGGGAATTATGCCTGTGCGGTACAAAAAAAAGTTGATAATTGAGAGACTGAATGTTAGCTATTAGAGCAAATATTAATGTTCAGTTGTCAGATTAACCTCTTATTAAATTGGGATTGAGCTTTATCATAAGGGCAATAAATAGAATATTTTCATGGAAATCAACAAAAACCGATGGGAATTTCCTTGACCACCTAGTAATGAGCCCAATTGCTACTGGAGGTGTGTTCATGTCCATGTCCTATAGGCCCCTCCCCTCCCTCAAATCCAGAATGAGGGAATGTGTTTCACATCAACAAGCCCAGCCCATTCAATCCCCCATAAAAATACGCATAAACCCTTTTATCGATAAGACAAAAATAATATCATCTAGCAATGCTAGTAACGACTAGTACCCGCACGTTCCCGATCCTAAAAATTACTGTCCACTTTCATCTCGATGTCGATTTCACCATCTCTTCCAACACCGAAGCTACTATTATCCTCTCCAAGCAAGTGTTAAAGAAATCCTTTCTCCGTCTATTCAAATCAAGTGCTCGAAATAGTTCAATTGTACGCATAAACCCTTTTATCGATAAGACAAAAATAATATCATCTAGCAATGCTAGTAACGACTAGTACCCGCACGTTCCCGATCCTAAAAATTACTGTCCACTTTCATCTCGATGTCGATTTCACCATCTCTTCCAACACCGAAGCTACTATTATCCTCTCCAAGCAAGTGTTAAAGAAATCCTTTCTCCGTCTATTCAAATCAAGTGCTCGAAATAGTTCAATTGTTTTTTCCCATAATAAGACCTTTCAGGTAAACGTCTAGACCTTTTGGTTGTGAGTGGAATATCAATGGGTACCGCTTTTTTATCGTACGGATCGTACGTCGTGCATTTATTGAGTAAGTTTGAAAGGCCATTTTAATTTTGTCACGGTGATTTTTTTTTTTTTTGAAAGAATGGACATTCTTGTGAATAACCATGAAAATGACCAAAAAATAACCGGTTCCCAAGCAAAGATGGCTTTTTGGCAAGAAAGAAGCATGAAGGAAGGAAGAAGAAAAGCCCAGATAGATCGATGAAGATGTGAAGTAATGTGCAAGGGGGAAAGATCCGCAAAATTTCTAACTCAATTCTCTCGAATTTCATAATTTCACAAGAACCAAGAACAGTACATCCACAGTGAGTCGAATCATTGTCTTCTTCCTCTCGCTCCCAAGAAACCACCACCACCACCTCTTCTTCTTCTTCTTGATCTTCTTGATCTTCTTCTTCTTCGTTTGCATTTGCTCTACGACTGGTTTCCGGCGCTTCTTCGCTCGATTCGCTGCTTCTGACAGTGACCCAACTCTCATCCGATTCCCAATTGAGCATTTGAGCAGGAGAAGTCGAATTCGCGCTCCATTCGCTGATCAATTGCTGGATTCTCTCGCTTGGCGGACGGTTCAGAGAACTTCCCTGAAACATGGGATGACAGGGCTGTGGATCTTCAGTTGACGACCAGATCACTTGCTCCAGCACGCTGGTTGGAGATTTGGTGTTCGGGATTTTGAGTTCGGCTTCCTCCGAGAGGAAGTCGGGAGCTTCGACTTCAAGAAAGGCGTGGCCGAGGAGCTCGGTAGCTGACCACCTCTCCGAAGGGTCTATTCTGAGGCACTTGCTCAGAAAGTCCCTGCATTGCTCGGACAGGAAGCCCGGAATCTCCGGCGTCTCGCCGGAGAACCCGATTCGGCGGATCGCCGATATGGGGTCGGGCACGTCCGTCCACGGCGGCCGCCCCGTCGCGATCTCGATGACCGTGCACCCCAGGGACCACACGTCGGCCGCGAACCCCGGCCGCTCCCCGCGCGCCACCTCCGGCGCCATGAAGAGCGGCGTCCCCCCGCCAACCGGCCCCCCCTCCGCCGCCGCCGCCGACGCCGAGTCGTCACCGACTCGACGAGCCAGGCCGAAGTCGGCGATCTTCGCCCCCTCGCCGGTGACCAAGACGTTCTGGCCCTTGATGTCGCAATGCGCGATGCCCTCGCCGTGGACGTACTCGAGCCCGCGGAGGACGTCCCGCGCGCACGCCCGGACCGCGGGCTCCTCGAGCCGGCCCCCGCGCCGGCGGGCGGCGTCGGCCACCGTGCCGCGGGGGGCGTACTCCATGAACAGGTTGTACACCCGCTCGCCCCCCTCCTCGCAAGTGACGTCCCACCCCCGGTACGCCACCACGTGGGGGCAGTCCATCGCCGACAGCAGCGCCTGCTCCCACCGGAGGGTCTCGGAGCGGGAGGCCGCGGCCGACTTGACGGCGAAGGCCTCGCCGGGGGCGGCGGCGTCGGCGGAGGCGACGGAGACGGCGGCGAAGGAGCCGCGGCCGACGGTGCGGCCTCGGGTCCAGCTCATCTAGGGCGGGGGGTGGATGGTGACTAGTTTCGCCTGTTTCGATAGCTATATATGCTTGGCCTGTATTGCAAGAAGCAGAAGAAGAAGAAGCTTTTTGTGCTGCCGCGCCTTTTGATTCCTTCGCACTCGCTTCGTGGCCAATGGACGGCCGCCGTTTTTTCCTTTGTTTTGCCTTTGTGGGGCCCAGGTCGCCCCCTCTCGCCGAATTGCGTGGCGACACGTGGCGGGGTGGGGGGGGGGGGTGATGACGGCTTTTGCCGCCCCTCAGCCCCCGATGATGATGATGATTCTTGCTTTATTTAATTTTATTTTTATTTATTTGTTTTCCCGATTTTTTGGGTTTTTTTTTGGTTTTTTTTTGGGGGGGGTATCACGTGGGGGCACGTGAGCACGTGCGGTGGAGTGCGCTCAGGGTTTCTGAGGAGCGTTGTTGCTTTTGATCTCCGTGAGGTGTGGGATCTTGGTGATGGGGATATTCGAGTTGGCTGAGCTGTGCACTTAGCTTGAGCATTAATTAGGACAAGAAGATTTCTGGGTTTTTCTTTTTTCCTCCTCTTCCGGGCATTAGTGAGTATTTTAAGAGATTTGTATGCTGCGGCTCGCTCCGAGCCGGCGAATAATGCCGGTTTTCCCCATGCTGTCACGATGGAGCGAGGAAAACCCAACTCAATTACCGGGAATATGCGTACGGTGACTTCGACGGTACAATGCACTGGTAGCTATTGCAGTGTGGATCGGATGATCGGCTTCTGACCGTCCGAAGGTCGTTCAGTGAAAATGCCTTATTTGATGCGTGCGGTCGGCGCGTCTTGAGCGAGCGGAGATGATGGGTTTCGACCATAGATTTAACGATCCCGGTAAATATTTGTTTTTT